TAATCGCCCATAATAGTGGCATCTTATGCAGAGTGACTATAATCACCCGTAGTAGTGACATTTAATGAAGTGGAACTATAGTTGGCCCTAGTAGCTCAGTGGAATCTTATAGAAAACGGCTATAGTCACCCGTAGTAGCTCAGTGGCATCTTATGCAGAGCGACTATAGTCGCCCATTATAATGACATCTTGTGCAGAATGACTGTAATCGGCCAAAGTAGTGACATTTAATGAAAAGCGACTATAGTCGCTTGTAGTAATAGCATCTTATGCAAAATGACTATAATCGCCCATAGTACCTCAGTGACATCTTATGCAGACTATAGTTGCCCGTAGTAATGGCATTTTATGCAGAGCGACTATAGTGGACCGTAGTAGTAACATTCAATGCAGAGCGACTATAATCGGTTCTAGTAGCTCAGTTGTATTTTATGCAGAGCGATTATAGTCGTGCGTAGTATCTCAATGGCATCTTATGCAAAGCGACTATATCGCCCATACTAGTGGCATCTTATGCAGAATGACTATAGTCACCCATAATAGTGGCATTTAATGCAGAGCCATTATAGTCGCTCATAATGCCTCAGTAACATCCTATACAGGCTATAGTCACCTACAGTAATGGCATCTTATACAGAACAACTATAGTGGCCCGTAGTAGTAACATTCAATTGAAAGCGACTATAGTCGACCGTAGTAGCGAAAAAGTTAAAGAAAGGGTAGGAGAGGGAAAAATATGAGCCGACAAGGGGGGGAGAGGTTTAATTGATTATATACCAGCATGGGGTTAACACCGTCCGCTCAACGTCTCCTCCAACCCCTTTTTACATCCAGTCGTATTATTATCCCTTATCGGGCTGGATGTCGTTGGGATGTCATCGCGCAACAGTTGAAACGAGGCCAATCCCGACTGTATCCGTTTAACGATTATCGTTCGACCAACTTTCCTCTTCCTTTTTCCTTCTCTCTCTTTTTTTTCTTCTTTTTCTCTTATCTTCCAGCGGGAAGAACGATAATCCTCTCCACTCGTCGTGATAGCGCGTGAGATTTTTTTTTTTTTCTTTTTGGTTCTTCCATGGAAAAGGTTGTTTCTCGTCTAAACAGAGAGGAAAGGTCGGACGGTTGGACGGAAGTCGAGGCGGGGCAACGAGCGAGAAGAGAGAGAGAGAGAGAGAGGTTGAAAGAAGTTGGAAGTTGGAAGAGCAAAGATTAGACGGGTCGTCGGTGATTGTTTCGATAAAAAATTAACCTCCTCCCGGCGACAGGTTGATTAAATTCCCGGATTTCCGGTTACAAGGGGGAAGAGTGTGTAACGGTATCGGTGTGGGCAGTTTGCAGTTTATTGGAATGATTGGAGCATCAAACGATATATCCTATATCTCGTGCCCATATCCGCTTACATAACGATTCAATAACCGGAAACTGTAGCCTCGTTGCAAGATTGGATACACTATTGCGGGACAAAAAGTTTATGGAATGATACCTCTCTCTTTTTTATTTTATTTTATTTCATTCCCCCCCCCCCCCTGGTTGCACTCCCTCTATTATCGGTTCAAATTTTCGAACGAACGAACATCTCGGTTTAAGTGGACACTTGTTGTGACGCGATCGAAAAAAAAAAAAAAATATCATCTCACGAACGATGAACGAATCACGCCTGATTCTATACCTGATATTTTTTACTGAAAATCGTTTGATACGCTTTTTCGCTTCTTATTTCGAATCGAATCGACCCTCCAATAAAACATTCACGAACATTGTCATCAGTGATCCCAGTCAAAGGCGTGCCTGTTCTTCCGCAGCAGGTAATAGATATTTAAAAGAATATCGAAGTCTTGGATCTTGGAAAAGGAAGGAGACACGTGGATACACAAAGGGGGAGGGAAGGAAAAATACGTGGTGGAACTCCCTTCCATATCTTACGAATTAATCTCTCGAAATCCCTCTCCATCGAGCCTAATTTCGCTCTCGAAAGGATTCGTTAATTCCTACGATCCTTATCCACCGTAAATTTGAGATTTCGAAAAATCAGGGGATGAAAAACATGCTCGACGAAATTTCTCGATTCTCTTCTTTCAAAAGAATTTTTTGGAACAATCTAATATACAAAAAAAACCGAGAGAGAGACAGCAGCTCGAACTCGACCGATATGCGTGTACATATAAAAATGACCGCGTAAAAATATTTCGTATTAAAAAGAGAAAGAGGGAGATAAAAAAAAACTTGCGTTCCGTTTTATTTTTCGGTGGAAATACAATCGCGTAAATTATATTCGCTGGAAGAGAAATTGAGATTTGTATCGTTCTAATTAACGTGGTTGTACACTCGCGTCGAAATAAATACTTGGGTTAATTCGATGGTCGTTTCCGTTGAACGAGCGTTCCTCTTTCGGGGGCTGTGAACGATAAACGATGCCATTTGACGATACGTGGTGGAACCGGGGAGGGGAGGGGGGGTAGTGAAAACTGCGAAGTGCTTAAAAATAAACAAGGGGAAAAATCGTTCGTTGTTTATCGCGAGAAAAAAAGGAAAGAAAGGAACGTAAACGTTTACCCTGGTGCACCCTAGTTAAAAATGAAATATTTTCTTTCAACGATACTCGCCTCGAATCGTTCAATTTATTCTTTCCTTCCTTCTTTTTTTTTTAACGATCGATCAACGCTGGATCCAATTAATTTTATTCTTTACTGGCAACCACCAATTTTTCGTGAACGGCCAAATTCCAATCGCGATACGGGACACGCTCATCGTTCCTTTTTTCGTCCCTAATCGATCGCTTTGTAACCGCATGAGATCGACGATGAATGGATGGAGAACAAGCTTCTTGGTGGGGGAGAGAGGGATTCGTGTTACGTGAGCGAAGAAACGCTTCTTGTAAATTTAATTATCGATATATAAGAACGATCGATGGAATCGTTGCGCGCGAGTTCGTAAAAATTGTCGACATGGAAATTTTATGGGATAAAAGAGAGAAAGGGAGAAAGGGAAAAGTAGTTTTATCCGAGAAGAATTGCCAACAACATCAAAGAGATTCTTGGAAAAATGGAAAAAAACATGCGCGTTCTTTTCACGTCGTTTTCCTTTGGGGAAAACGGTTCGAATAACAAGAAACACATCCGGTGGCGAGACGCGACGAGAAAATCACAAAAAAAATCGATTAAAGATTTTTCATCCCGTTTCTTTAATAATAGATTTTTCTTCTTCTTCTCTAATTCGTTACAAACATGTCGAGGAACACTCGTATCCCGCGAATATTTCTTTCTTTCTTTTTATCTTCTTTGAAGATAAGATAAGATAAGATAAGATAAGAATAGGAAAAATGTGAAGCATCGCGAGACGAAAGGGACAAAGTCGCGTGAAAAATTGAAAAATTTAGAGACAGAAAGGTATATACATACATATGTTATATTGCACGATCGAAGAAGAACGAAAGGATAATATAAAGGAGGGAGAGGAGGAGGAAATTACAGAGTAGCATCGAACGTAGAAAACGCAAGGGTCGTTCTACGAGTCGATGATTTATCGTCACGTCAATGTTATCAATGCATTTAGATTAATAGTTTCGTGGATATGACAGACGGTTTGATAATAATTTACCGGATGCGCCCGTGTAATTACTATCGATCCGTCCAGGAACATCTGGATTGATGGCAAACCCGTCGGTAACCGTCACCGCGAATCCACCTGTATATAATGATGTTCCAACAAATATTATCTGGCAACGTTTCGATTCGAAAAAAAAAAATAATTAACTCTCTCGAAACCAACGACGATTGTTCGATCAATTTCATGCACGAAATAAAATAAAACGTGTAAAACTTTTACATTTTACGTATATTTTACGTATAAAGAAAGAGAAAAAAATTTGTCGAATATTAAACTCGTTGTTCCGCGCGATATTTTGCAAAGGAATCGCCTCGAGATACAAGTATCACGGTAAAACGTCTCTCACCTTTCTTATCTCGTTGAGGGGCGAACTTTTATAATCCTTCTTAACTCTTGTTAACGCAACGCGCTCTCGCATTCACCGTCCATTGTTCTCACTTTTCACGCTTACCTTCCCTCCATCGTCCATCGTTCTTCACGAATAGAAGCAACGAAAAATCAAACTCGAATCATTACCCCGTTCTTACGAAACTTTGAGGATGATATTCGTATTTCCACGAATACGTGAAACTCGAACCAATGCTCGAAGACGCAACCCGAACCGCGATCTACAAAATCTACGAATTACTCGTGGCGCCATCTGAAACAGCGTTCTTTTTGTTTTCGAGGAGAGTCGCGACGAGCGCTGCAAGAGTTTCCAGTGAATCGCAGAAAGATTGACATTTGTCCGATCGAAACAATCTTGGATAATCTTGAAATCCGATTGAATTTGGGGGGGGGAAGGGAAGAATTGTTTGCACACCTAATATTATTCTAACGCTTCATAAATATTGTGGGCCCTAAATCGAAAAAGTATAATTAACAAAAGTCTCTAAGAGTGACCATAAAATTACTATTATTCTATATATTAAAAAAAATCGTTATAGCGAGATAAAATATTCTAAAAAAAAAAAGAAGTCCATTATAAATAAATAACCATTCCAATCCAAATAATAATTCGACCATCATTTTTATCGCTCTCTCGAGCAAGATTACACTCGCGCCTTGTAATTTTTAGCGTGGGTGGATAAAGAGCGGTAGGATATCCCGATGGCGAAGGTTTTAACGATCCTGCGATACATACGTAACATACATACGAGCGACGAGGGCAGGGCAGGTTTTGGCAGACAGAAGCGAAACCGGTGGTGCTGCATCGACGAAAACGAAATAATAATCTTTGTGCAGACTGGCTTCGTTCGGGTGGTTCGAAGCCGGTGTATATCGCGGGCGGGAAGAGTGGTTTGAAAACACGGCCGCGGATCGAGCACAGCGTTAACGAGCGGAATTCCCCGCGATTATGGCCGGCGATGACACGGCCCCCTCTCGTCTCGTTCCCCAATCAAAGAGAGTTGGAACCGAGCCAACACACAGCTATTCGAATCGGAACCTATTTACAGAGTCGAACCGAAACTCGCGTTATATATAAAAAAAGCGACTGGAAAGTATAAAATCTCTTCAAGGTGCTTACAAGGAAATTTTTTAAACGAAGATATAATATTTTCTTTTCAAAGGAAAATCCTTTTCGAGCGAAATTGAACGGAGAGAGGGGGGCGCTGTTTAATTAGGAAAACGGCGGGGATGACACCGGTTGATTCGTTACAATTTTTATCACTTCCAATCTTGATTTAATTCTTACTAAGCCACGAAGAGAAGATCACGATTCTTGTAATCCACGTTGCAAAGCAAACGTGCCAGTGATTTCGTATTTTGTATATACGAAACATTTACATGGAAACAATATCCAGGGATAGTGACACGTTTGTATGCAGGACTATTAATTTTTAAAGTAAGTATTTTCCTATTAGATATCGATTCAAATTTTTAATATTAAAAAATAATAGATTTATGTGAAAGCAAAGTCCATAAGATCTTGTATCGCGTAAAGCATAACACTACTTATATCTCGACTCGTATAGCAACTGTTTTCGAGCATCACTTTCGTCTGTTTACTGCGCGTTCAGCGCTATCGCTTGGGCCGTTTCGTCGAACTAAATACGGTATAGGAAGGGGAAAAATGGAGGAGGAGGGGACGAAATTCAATGTTGGCGAGACCGTTCGAGAAAATTCGAGAGATTTTTCGTTGCTCGTCGTTTCTGTCGACCCTAGCCTCCCCGTCTTGCCACGCAACATTTGAATTTGAGATTCGCGGCCTTTTTCAATCCGTCACGATTCTTCCGTTCTTTCGTTTCCGAGAACGGAAGGAAATAAAAATCCAGGCCGAGCAGTGGGGGAAAGGAACGCAAGGTGGAAAGGGGAAGGGAAGGGAATAACCCAGAATGATTATTATTATTATCATCAGATGAAAATTTGAAATTCCTCCCTCCCTAATCTCTGGCAACACAAATTCGACGGTGAAATGAATTTTACCATCGAGGCATGCCCGAAGCTAGATTTATTACTTTTACGGAATGTTGGACGAGTTATGCCCGCAATATAATTCGTACACATTGGAATCCGGATTGTGTATAGTTTCAGGAAGACGGAACAAGCGTGAGCGTGTTGCAATGGACACCGTCGATCGAAGACGAGGGGAAATTTCTGGTGTGCAGGGCGACCAATCCGAAGCTGCAGGACACGGGTATCGAGGAACGATGGAAGCTGAAGGTGCATTGTAAGTATATACAACACGCTATCTCTCTCTCTCTCTCTCTCCTATCCTACCTATCCCCTCCCTTCGTACCATCTACGATCTAAAATTAACGAGATCGATAGGAATTCCTGGCGCGCCTTCGCCCTCGTTCCCGATTATTCAATTATTTCGATAAATTTGAGAAAGCCCGGAACTGCGACCGAGACAAAGAAGAGAAGAGGGGGGGGATTCGTGACGTACGCGAACGGAATTCAGAAGAAATTGATACTCGGCAGAGAGAGAGAGAGAGAGAGAGAGAGCTCTCCGCCTAGAAGGACCGAGAAAGTTAAACGTCCTCGGCTTAAAAGGGGCCGGGTGAAATAGGTGACTCGCCGGCCAACGCATTGATTTCTCGTGGAAACGAACGTGCCGTCCCGCAGTTATTGCTTCGTTTGAAATATTCCTTTCCCTCGGTTGATAATTGCTAAAAGAATGTACGTATAATAGGATCTACGTTCGATATTTGAAATTGAAGATCCATAGCAACGAAGGGAAGACGATGCGATAGAATAATCGTTTGACTCTTGCCAACGCGATATTATACGCAAGGATCGCACGATTCCTGGTTAATTCGATTTCGATGGATTTCTCTCTCCCCATATGGGAGGACAGCCTTACGACGAAATTACGCGCCGGCTAATCTGTCCTGCCAACGTTTACCCGCATAACGTAAGCCAGATACGAGCTATCGTTATCCGTTTATTTACGACTGCGCGTCTGATCGGCCACTCGATGCATCCGCCATTACCCTTGTTTCCCACGCGTGTACGTACGCGTGCGCATGCGCGAGTACTCGGTTCGCACACTTGGCGCTGTGTGACGCGTGCAACGAACAATTTCGTTTCACGTCGCATTAACGCCTCGACTCTTCTCGTGACGACGTAACGTCTTTCGAGTGGGAATCGAAGGGAAGAATCGTTTCGTCGTCCCGAAAGGACGATTACATTGGGAACGAAACGAGATTATTTCTCGAATTAAAAGAAAAAAAAAGTGTATCGAGTTTATCCCCGCGTAACGAGGTTATCTCGCGGGATCAAAGATCGGGGGAGATCGAGTTAGAATCGCGATCGCTAACAAACGCTTTGGCACGGTGGAACGTCGGTGATACACCGATATTCGAACGGAGGGATTTCCCAGGTGGATTCCTCCCTCGCGACGGAAGAATCAATTCGAGGGCGGCCGAATGACGAGGAATCTCGCGATCGGAATAATTCCGTAATAAATCGAGAAGGAAACGGAGGGAGAAAGCAGCGTTTGAACGGTTTTATCTCGTTGATAAATTTTAAACAAAACTTCCTTTCTCATTCGGTTGATCGCTATTTAATATCTCCTCGAAATCCGTAGCAGGGTAAACATGGTAATAAAATTAAAAACTAGGGGAATAAAACTCTGGTAACTTGCTGGTAAACTGGTTCGTCTTAAATAATACGAATAATAAGAATTCGCGCATGCATATGTAATATGTGGTTGGCGCCGGGACCCCGGCTCCGCACCAAAAAGAATCGTCGCGTAAATCGTTTCCATATTTTTACATAATCCACCTCCCCCAAGGAGGAAGATGTTTCTCGATGTCGAAATCGAGCGAGGGGGGGGGGGGAGAATGGCCGACTGTTATTGTTACAAAGTGGACTGTATAACTGTACAGTTTACCGGTGGCTAACGATATACAATTACGTATCTGTCAACGTCAACCTCGAGCTGTCAGTGGTAACGATACGTGCTTCGTCAGACCCGTGCATTTCCATCCCGCGGATCGAGAAAATCCTTGTCCCATCGATCGCCATATTGAGCGACGTGGAAAGAAAGGAAGGAAGAAGCGAAAACTCGCAATCGAACAGTGGCTCGAACGATATATATATTGCGTGGACAAAATTCATAAAATGTTTCGAATTTATAAAAAATAATTATCTCCTCAAATTAATGATGCGATAAGAAATTGGATGTATGAAAAGTAGAAATTTATTACTTTCTTTTTTTATTGATTCGTATTATTTGATTCGTAAAACTATACTTTTTGAATTAATTTTGTTTATGAGAGCACACGACACCAGCGGATCCACTGACATTTATGGATTAATTTTAACTATCTCATATTATAACAATCCATTTATGTCATTGTTCATTTATCATATTTTGAACAAATAAGGAATAACAATATTCCTAACTTTAGCTGGTAATTTTTTCCCTTCATTCCTTTCCATCTTTCCCCATACTTGTACATTTTTACACAATTTTTTTATACATCGATCATTACGTTACATTTTCATTTTCACCCTATACTGATTAAATTAATTAATTACTAAATCTTCGTACGAACCGGGAGAAAATAATTTTTCACGGCGAGGATGATCGCGTCGAGAAACGAAGTCGGTCGGTTTAAAGCGTTGGGATGCAATCGCGATCGACGTATCGGAATTCGCGGGATTCGATTGAGAGAAAAACGGTTAATTGGAGGGGAGGGGAGAGGATCGGCGCCTCGTGTCACGTGGCTAACGATCTGTCCACTGGCGCGAGGCGCCCCATGGCTGGAATCCGAGGCATAGCGCGTGTTCATTTGCCGGAAAGCTATTTCCTCCCTTCCATTACCGGACGACGGTGTATCGCGCATATTTGCGACCCGCGCGCCACCACTCCTCTCTCCACTCCATCGCGATCGAATCTCTCCCCGCTTCGCCCCCCGCGCGTCTCTACACGCGACACACGCACGAGCTGTGTAAAACTGCGAGCCGTGTGCGTCAACTGTATCCCGGATCGACACGCGTTTCTCTTCGAGGGGGAAGGAGGAAGAGGAAGGGAAATTCTTTTTCTGATTCGCGAAAAAGATATCATCCACTCTTCAGGAGTTGAAATTTGAGAAATTCGTCGAGTAAAACTTGTTCGATCGGACGGAATCGTTCGTAAAAAGGGAAATCGATAGGGAGAGAGGAGGTGGAATGATTTCTCGGCGGTCAGCTGCGGTGATATCGTAGACCACCGCCATAAATTACCAAGCGCGATGAATAAACGTTGGTTTTACTTGGTTATTTGTCGAAGCACGCGTTTCCACTTTCTTCCGAGCTTATTCCTACTATCTTATAAACGTTTATTATTTTATTAACCTCGGCTCGTAACCCTCATCGTTCTCGGGAGGGGGAAAAACGCGATAAAACTTTCGTTACGGGGAGGATAATGCAAATTGCAAAGTTGACAATCTAGGAAACGGGTCGAGTCGACTATTAGACCCGTAGAGGAGTTCGGCTAAACAACCTGGTCGCGCGAATACCCGGCAAACTAATAATAATTCTCCCGTAGTAAACACGTTGGGAGATGCTGCAACTCTACTCACCAATTATGTCGTTTCTACTCGGGCAAAATAGACAAAGTTTTGAAACGCGTCTCCCTCTCCCTCTCTCTCTCTCTCTTCCATCTTTCTCGAAAATTATGAACTCGGGTCAACAACGCCCCCGACCCATCCGGATTGATAGAGGCAACCCGGGCAAAGAGACACGTTGCATCTAATTAATATCTACTGGCACAACTGCGCGACAGATCGAAACGGAAGGAAACGGACTCGTGAATGCGTACTCGGCAAGGATATTCCTTCGAATAGCGAAATATAATTACGCTTCACTCGCTGCTACTTTCCTCTCTCCTCTCGTCTCCGCTTAAAATAATTCAGAAATACTCGGGGAGAGAGGGGGGCGGGAGAGAGAGAGAGAGAGATTCGAATTTCCCGGCCGCGTTTCGTCCATTTTTGATTGAAAAACAATGGATAAATTCTATCCGGAGTGAAGAGAGAGAGAAAAAAACAGTACGCGAAATTCGAAAATATTCCTTTGACCGCTATATGCGCATATATGCGTTCTGCAAAGGCTATCAGTATGGTCTTTACAAAGTGCATACTTGGTTGTTTAGCAACGAGAAAAAATAAAATCTTGTTTATTTCGTCGGTCATTCGCTGTATCTTAAATTCGTTTCAGACTGTAGTCAGACAATTGTGATTGTTACATTGTAATATTACGCTTTGATTTTTATATAAGTGATGATCCAGTAATAAAAATACGATCCATAATTGAAAAGAAAAAATGTTTGAATTTGTTTTCGAGTAGAGAAAGTAATAGTAATTCCTATATTTTATTATATTGTATTATACTTCAGTCCCCAGCGATCTACTGCGCGGTCGTGTACCGTTCACACGAAGCGCTTCAACTTAGACCATTTAGCAATCAAAAAGTGCAAATAAGTTCTTTCCTTACTTTTTTCCAAATTCAAGATACCGCTTGTCTGGTGACATCTGCCGATTTTTCTCGCGTCTGGGTCGGATTTTCAGAGAACGATTCTTTTAACTTACCGTTTCTCGGCGCGCTTGAACGATCGTCGTCTTCCAAATTAAAATTTCCAAATTTAAATCTTTGCTACCACTTCTCACACATTCCGTAATATACAGGCGCGCAAATCGTTTCAGTATCTTCTAAACTGGAACGCAAAAAATAAGCGGTGACGCGAATGTTTCTCGCACGCCATATTGAAATTGTCACATAAAACTCTTACAGCGCTCGTCGTGACTCTTCTTAAAAACAAAAGCTCTTTCAGATGGCGCCACAAACGAGAAATAATTCGATCGGAAGTTACGATCGTAGAAAAGAAGAGGAAGGAACTTGTTTAATCTCGCTTCGTGATTTATCGTCGTAACGCATTAATTTATCACGCGTCCTTGTCCGCGATAACTTCGTAACAAATCGGTGAACTCGATACGATAGGTGAAACGAAAGAGTATTTCAGTGGGGAAGAAAAAAATTCGTACGGGAGAAAGCACAAATATTTTGAGAAGGTAGAAAAAACATTTGCGTCGTGACTGTGAAATTCCGAGCGAAATCAAACGTTCTACCGATTTGGAGAGGGAGAAGAGGAGAATTTGAACGCGGCCGAGTTGACGTTATCCCATGGTGGAGAAAGCGTTCGTTATTCCTGTTGTATAACGCGAGTTCGCCAGAGTGTGCTTA